TTTAAAATTGATACAATCACATTATCGATTTTTAAAAAAAACAATGAGATGGAAACCAATCAAAATTTTATGCTGAATAATATTTTTTTTCTTCAAAAGTTTTTTTCTTCAGAAGTTTTTCTTCTTCAGAATCCAGACTTTGACCAGATTAGACAATGTACCATACCAAATAATTATTATGTTGAAATGGATTTTGTTGTAGATATACTCATTAAACCCCTATATTTGTACTTAATTGGGCTTGATTTTCTATCTCTTAAGTTAGTCAGATTTTCAACTCAAGTAGCAGGAGAAGGCTTAGCAAAGTGCATTTCAGAAGTGTAAAATGCAATAGCTTCTCCTACGGATTTTGTATTTCCCCAAAACAAGTACAATATATATATACTCATTAATTAAAGTGATATATACTCACTAATTAAATGTAACAGTGAAAGATTTGCCAATATATTGGTATTGAAATAAAGAGCACATTTTAGTATCAAAGACACACAGTTCACCTGTCAATTTGGTCATTTTCCGGGGGGTACATTTATTCCGGAGGGTATGTTTATTAGACTTTGACGATTTGTCCGGGGGGTATGTTTATTCCGGGGGGTATGTTTATTAGGGACATGAGAGTAGGTGTTGGGATGCTGGGCAGCTTTCCTTGGTGCTACAATAGAACTTAATTTTTTTTTTTTGTGGACATGCAATGGTCTTTATTTTTCTTGGTGGCAGATATTTACCTCCGGGTAGGGATGTATATCCCGAGCGCGGAGGTTTTGTGAGGGAAGACGAAAATTGCGTTCGCACCCGTTTCTCGCGTTTGGGTGGACGGATATGTCTGGGACTTGGTATACGTTTTGCTGTTGGGCTGTAGATGGTGCACGTTGTTTTGGTTTTTTAGTATGTGTGTTTTAGTGCGTCAAAATGATGCGTTTAGACCGCCGATGGACACCCCTTTCAGTGTGAAAGTGGGCCTCAGCTTTTGACCTTTGCATGTATAAGGACGATTGAGGTCGCGACCACTGATCTGACCTTTCACACAGAGGGGTGTCAGCATTGTCGATAAATTATTTCTTTGAAACTGTTCAGATGTGAACCACATGTGCCGTCAATCAACGTCTCATTATCGTGCCTGGTGGGACCCGCTGGGGGGATACTTTAGTACGCGTTCACAGGACACGTAATCGGCACTTCCTGGTTAGCCAATGGGTCAGGGGTCAACGTACTGTTGCGCAACCTTTGTGTTGGTTGTTTTCGGCGTATATTACGACTTCTAACTTACAAATACCGCGGATTCAGACCTTTACTTCTCCAATTTATACGAAGAATCGGCGGAAAATGGAGGAAGTGACAATAAGGATGACTTGCACATGCGGGGAGGTACTTCAGCAGTTATTTTTAACGTCTGATTCCATTTAACGGCTCCGGTTGTCATTCTGAGTTTCATTACGAGTTCCTTGTGGCATAAGTTCGTGGCGGCCCGTTCGTGGGTACATGTTATAGGCTGCAGATGAAAATACTGACCTGTGTTAACACAACCAGGAAGGCTAAATCTAACACATAAAATTCAACACCATCAACTACATGTATATAACAAACAACATATAAAAGTATACAATAAAAAGCTCAGATTTTACTATTCGCACGCGCGCATCAGTTTTGGGGTTCCCAGAGGATGTCATCCATATAATCAAATCAACATGGCCTTACTTACATGTTAGAAGGGTAACACGCGCACCGGACGATTGGCGGCTGGCGCCCGGAGCGGGTGTTTGTTTACATTATCGCTGGTCGCTGAGGGTCGGGCAGCCAGATTCGCCACGGGATGCCCCCTGTCCTTTCTATTTTTGGGCTCCAGTCGGCTAGGGGGATTAGTGATTTCACAGATCATTTAGCCAATTACAAACATTTCGAAACTTTTCGAAAAAATGGTATTCGCGCGAATTCAATAATTTAAAGAACAGTCCCAATGCACCCAACATTCTGCAACACACATTTCAATACCCGGAGGTACAAAATCTACGATTTTCCTTGTTATTATTAGAAAACAGCTGATACACAGGTATTTTACAGGACAAGAATCACACATGTAGTTAATCCTTGATTTATTGTCTTAGCTTAATTACCGGTATAACCGAATTGTCCTTTAAAGATTGCATGTATGAAGAGTCAATGCCATATTGACCCTTGTCTGGTGCACTTTCCCAGGCACCATGGTCCCATTCCACTTCAGAGTTCTCCATGCCGAGCTGCCGCAGTACCTGGGCAAACCACATGAGGCGCTTGACAGACTCTACCACCTGCTCGGCACCTGTAACCAGGTATGGGATGTGAATTCAATGAGCCCTCTGGAATATCAAGGTACTTTCTATGTCCCGTATGCCTTATGTTTACAAAACAGGGATGATTACATGTCAGTATATACTAGTTGAATTTTGTCCACTGAGGAAATTAATGGCAAGTGCAGATGATCTCTGAGCGACAAATATTTGACAGATCACTCAGCAAATTGCATACATAAAGAATAAAATGTTTCACCCTTTGTGTGTTTTCTTGACTTTCAAAACATACTTGTAGTCCAATTATACTAAATCAAGGGTCACTCAAGTCATCACTGTCTAGTGGAAATGGGGGACTATAAGAGGACATACGCTTGAAGAAGCCATGCATTGAGCTTTCCCTAGCCTGATTATTGGAGATGTTTTATCTCATAACCATCTGGACATAAAGAGGAAGTGTTTGGTGTTGTAGATCGTGACTAACCTGGAAAAGGGCGTGGCAGAAGATGGAAGCATGTTGGTTTTATCACCTGAGAACAGGACAGGTAAGTCTCATAGTAATACTGCTATAGCTCAGGGCTGTGTACTTGTTTATGTAAACCCTCATATAGAGATGGCAATTTACCACCAGTGGCTACATGTATAACTACAGATAATTGGACAAACTAAGTACAGGTACAGGTTTGGACCTGTACCAAAATCTGTGTACTTGCATGTCTAGGGACTTGCACTTGTTTAGGGACACAGCTCTATAATACATCCTGCATGTTTACCTTACAATTCATATTCTCATTTCCAAGGCTAGATTTACTGGTAACTTTTATTAATCTGGAGCTGTTTTCAACCCCTTTCCCTTCCTCTAGCATCCTCCGAGCTGTGGAAGTCCCGGGAAGTGAGGGTTCAGTTTTCTATCACAAACTGTGCTGTGGTGTTGAAGGTAAGGAACAGGACACTGCTACTGTTAGCATGCGCACCCCTAACTTGGTAAATAGAAATGTGATCATATTCCGTGTGTGTCTTTTCTACATTGCCCAATGAATGCAGTGGAAAATGAAATACATTTTATTAGTCAGTGTCCTCACTATGAGACCGACAGAAACAGATTATTTTTACATCCTTTCATCATTTAGAAGGTCACCAAAAGACTGTGTTTCTACTCAGATAACAACACCCACTCGTTATGCAGAATGTGGGTCAATTCATTATCCACTGCCTTCAAAGAAGATAAACCTCATAAAAGCAAGCGTAGTAGTAGGAGTATGACTTTTTTCAGACAGTAGTTGTCTGTTTTCTATTATTGTATTGTACTCTGACTCGGTCAAAACAATTAGCCTTAAGGCATGATTTTGCAAACAAAGATTATTAAATCTTATATGTCTCTTTTTGTGAAACTAAGTGATTTTTGTTTTTTTTTTTTCCTCTTTGTCAGATAACTCTCATGTTAAATGTTGCTTATGCTATTATAGGTTGAAAACTTAATTTTATGGATTGCAGGATTTTAATTTGGCCTATGAGACAATGGACACCATACTGTCTCGAGAAGTGGGAGATACACCTCAGATTCTTAGTGCAATGGGCAGGATCAAACTACAGGTAAGGTGTCCCCTGTAGAATGTAAAAAATATGAATGAAATACTAATAAATGTGAATGAAATACTAATAAAACATTTCCAGAGTGATTTTTCCTCCTATCCACAAGTGGAATTCTTAAAATTGATAGATTATCTATTGGAAAATAACTCTCCTCTGGACTTAAGTGATCCTTTAAGAACACATCATCTCTTTAAAAAGAGTGTCTTTACTCAGCATTATCTTAATAAGGATGTATCAAAACCATATCTTGTAACAGCTGTGTGGTCATACTGTGAGTTACTCTTACTTGATTGCACCCATTAAATGATGAGACCTACACATATATGGTCTTAGACAGCTCCGTCCTGTGCATTAACAGACCAGAATAATTGCAATGATGGAAACATTTGGTGGAAAATGAAGTCCACAGGGAGGTAATTATCTGTATTTCATCACTATTTTCACATCCTGTATCATATCTCCAAACTTGATGGAGACTCTATATGTGTACATTACTGCTACATACTGGTATCACTTAATACAGGTCTAAAGCACCTGCCAGCTTTTGCAGGCAAATGCAGAATATTTCCATCCTTTCTAAAAATGGATCTTCCTAACATGGCCACATAGTACACATACTTTCAGTCTGAATCATGATGCTGATTTCATCCAAATGTGGAGACACAAGTATTCAACAATAATTATTTGATAATACAAATGTTTGTTATTTGGTTGTTTTGTTTTGTTTTGTTTGGTGGATTTTTGTGTTTGATTGTATGTTTGTTTGTGTGTCCTTAGTTACACGAATATTTGAATACATTAGTGTGGCAGGAAGAGAGGGGGAAAATGGTGTAACCACCACAGGTTGACAGGAAGGTCAAATTGGAGGTCATAATGGTGTTCCCTCAGACTGGGAGGAAATGAACGGCCTTTTATGGAAGCCAGAAGAAAAAGGAATAGACAGAATCAGCAAGAAATTCACACTAATGATGCAACAGGAAATTCAAAACAACTCTAAATACTTCAGGGAGGTGTGAAACCCTTGATATTTTGTTTTACTTAGTGAAATGCACTATTGACTACATGTATGTATCCAACATCTCTGACTTCAGCTAGGAGATGTGAAAGGGGCCCAGCAGTGCTTTGAGAAGGCCGAGCCACTTCTGGAGGGTGAAGCAGATGGAGAGGCTGTCAAAATTACCAACAAGTGAGTTAAGAATTTTAAGTTCTGTTGCATTGAAATTGAAAGCAAACACAGTCAAAAAATGTCTCAATTTTCAGTATCTAACAACCCATTCATTACCCATTTAGACCTTCTGTATGATCATTGCCCCCATGTTGTAATTAAGTTGCCTTCCCTTCCTTCCAGAGCATTCCTAGCCCTGGGCCAGGGGTCCTTTGCAGAGTCCTGCCAACTATTTGAACAGGTCTACAAGTTACAACCAGACAATGGAGTGGTGAGTGGTGAACATTAGTACATGTACATATATTGGGCATTTTCATCTTCAAGTGACACCAACTGTACATGAAGATGTGATTTCGTTTTAGTTTTGGTGGTGTTGGGGCACTGCTTTGTAGTTTATGCATCAGAAAAGTAGTGTAGGCAGGAAATGATGCAATCTTCCCTCCTGTCATCTGCTTGTGCAGGAAAAAAGTCTACCACTCCCGAAAAAGATTCCCGGAAATGCACTCCCGAAAAAGATTCCCGGAAATGCACTCCCGAAAAAGATTCCCGGAAATGTTTGTGCATACGAGTTAAAACGTATAATTGCTGCACCCCTGCCATTTCGCATTACTTATCCTGGTCAGTGCTGCTAATTACTAACGTAACCATTTTCTTTCCTTCGTCATAGAATTCGGCTTTAGTAAAAAAAATATGTTGGCAAAATCTCATTAGGGAAGATTAAGTCATCCGTATACCTGCTGATTTTGAAGCCCACTGAAACTGCATTTACAATGATTACTTCCTGTTTATTGTCACAATAAAGAGGGCAAGAAAGTGTGCAGAACAATTTTTGACAAGGGTTAGTGTTCTAATGGATCTGGATTCTAATCCCTAGCAGGCCCCAATGCTATGTCCTTTACACCTTTACACCTTACTCAACCTCACTCAGGTGAAAATGAGTATCTAGAATATGATTATCTTGGATAGGATGTAAAGCCAGAAATCCCGTGTTTGAGGAGAATCATACATTAAAGACCCCACCACACTTAAGCTCATCCTTGTGTGAGTTAGTC